AGGAGAGTAGTGGTGAACGCTGGGGAAGGGAAGGATCCGCAGGGTGAGTGAGGTGAGAAAGATGGTGTGGCAAGAAGATGTAGTCAAGAGAGAGATAGGGAGAGGCAGTGAGTGAATGCTGGGGAAGGAAAGGGTCCGCCGGGTGAGTGAGATGCTTGAGGGAGTGGAGTGGGGTAGCTGGAGCCTTGGGGGAGAATGATGGTGTGAGTAGGGGCACCTAGGACATGTCGCAGGTAGCGGGCGGAGAGAGGCAGTGAGAGAGAAGGAGTAGTGTGTGTGTGTGTGGCCCGATGGGGGTTGATAGGTGGACGATGGTGTTGCCGATGTTGGTGACGCAAGTGAATGAAAATGGTGTGCGTGCGTGGCCTGGTATAGGTCGAGAGATGGTTAGTGGTCGCCAATATCGGTGACGGGAGAGAATGATCAGAGTGTGTGTGAGTGGCCTGGTATAGGTCGAGAGATGGTTAGTGGTCGCCGATATCGGTGACGGGAGTGAATGAAAATAGTGTGCGTGCGTGACCTGGTATGGGTCGAGAGATGGCTAGTGGTCGCCGATATAAGTGACGGGAGAGAATGATCAAGGTGTGTGTGAGTGGCCTGGTATAGGTCGAGAGATGGCTAACGGTCGCTGATGGTGGTGACGGGAGAGAATGATTAGAGTGAGTGTGTGGTCCAATAGGGGTCGATAGGTGGTTAATGGTCGCCGACCTTGGCGGTGGGTGGTATCACTGGCACGCTTGGAGTGCCGTCGGGGAACGGAAACCCTGGGTAGGTAGGATTGTAGGTACATGAGGGGAAACTGGAGTTCAGTAGTGAACTGTTGGTAAATGTATATGGTTTTATATTGTTGCATTTCACACCTGTATTTTGAGTTTTACTGTACTGAGTTAACTTAACTGACTCTTTTCTTTTTACAGATGATGTAGGGACGGAGTCCGGACCGAAGTTGTTGGATTTTGAGCCTAGTGTGTAGAGTAACAGGATGAAAATTTTTGTTTTTTTTTGAC